AACCAGCATCCATTCCCGTTTCTACAGTCAGTTACCATGGGAACCCTCACACATTCCCATTGTCATGGTCGGTTATCGTGGCAACCATCATACATTCCCATCACTATGGTCGGTTACCATGGCAACAGTCCCACCTGTTACGGTCAGTTACCATGGCAACCATCATACCTCCCACTGCTACGGTCAATTACCATGGCAACCATCGTATATTCCCATTGCTACAGTCAGTTACCAGGGCAACAATCACACATTCCCGTTGCTACACTCGGTTACCATGGCAACCATTGTACATTGTCATTACTATAGTCAGTTACCATGGCAACCATTGTACATTGTCATTGCTATAGTCAGTTACAATGGCAACCATCACATTTTTCCATTGCTCCTTTCAGTTACCATGGTAACCATCATACATTCCCATTGCCATGGTCAGTTACCATGGCAACCATCGTATATTCCCATTACTACGGTCAGTTACCATGGCAACTATCATACATTCCCATTGATACACTCAGTTACCATGGCAACCATCATACGTCCCACTGCTACAGTCAGATACCATGGCAACCATCATACACTTGTGTTGCTACGGTCGGTTACCACGGCAAACAGCAAACATTCTGGTTGCTAGGGTCAGTTACCATGGCAACCAGCAGACATTCGCATTGCCCATGTCAGTTCCCATGGTAACCATCAGACATTCTCTTATAGGTCAGGAATTTAAGAGTGTTTGTCTTTCCCCTGCCCCCCCCAGTGCAGGAGAGACGGAGTTGGAGTGGAAAAGGGGGGGATGGGCTCAAAGGCTTTCCTGAAGTCAGAAGAGACACATCCCCAGCCTTTCCCTCAGCTACTGAGGGGCTCATTGTGTCAGAGGAGGAGACCAGGTTGGTCAGGCAGGACCTGCCTTTCCCAACCCCACACTGGCTGGGCCTGATCCTCCTGCCCCAGGGGTGGAAACACAGTCCAACCGTCTGTCATGGACTGATCCAGGCCACACTAGAGAAAGGTGAGGCTCCCGAACACATCCAGTACATCGATGACATCATTGGAGGGGGGGACACAGCTGAAGAAGTTTTCAAGAAAGGACAGAAGATCATCCAGATTCTCCTCGAGGCCGGTTTTGCCATCAAGAAGAGCAAAGTGAAGGGACCTGCCCAAGAGATCCAATTCCTAGGGGTGAAATGGCAAGATGGACGATGCCAGATACCAACAGACATCATCAGCAAGATTGTAGCCATGGCTCCACCCACAAACAAGAAAGAGACCCAAGCTTTTCTGGGAGCCACAGGCTTCTGGAGGATGCACATCCCAGAATACAGTCAGATTGTGAGCCCTCTTTACTTTGTGACCCGTAAAAAGAACAATTTCCAGTGGGGTCCTGAGCAACAACAAGCTTTCAGGCAGATCAAGCAGGAAATTGCTCTTGGACCAGTCAGGACGGGACCAGATGTAAAGAATGTACTCTACACTGCAGCTGGAGATAAAGGTCCCTCCTGGAGCCTCTGGTCAAGGTGCCTGGCGAGACGCGAGGGCGACCACTGGGTTTCTGGAGCCGAAGCTACAGAGGTTCTGAGGCCAATTCCACCCCTGTGGAGAAGGAAATCTTAGCGGCGTATGAAGGCATACGAGCAGCTTCAGAGGTAATTGGTACCGAAGCACAGCTCTTCCTGGCACCCCGATTACCAGTCTGGAGCTGGATGTTCAAAGGGAAGGTGCCCCCTACGCATCATGCCACCGATGCCACGTGGAGCAAGTGGATCGCTTTGATTACGCAACGTGTCCGAATCGGGAACTCGAATCGCCCTGGCGTCTTGGAAATCATAACCAACTGGCCTGAAGGTGGGAACTTCAGTCTGGCAGAAGAAGAAGGAGAACCAGTGAGCCGAGCTGAAGAAGCTCCACCGTTTGATCAGCTGCCAGACGAAGAGACACGCTATGCCCTTGTGCAAGTTTCGAACTGGCTTCCCGCCAAGCTCCCGAAACCCGACAACAAGGACCCGCCTCCCAGAGAGGGAAGAGAAAAGAAAGAGCCCAAACAGCCAAAGCTATAGCAAAAATATATATATATATTTTACATAGGAGACAGATCCTCTACTCAGTGCTGATGGGCAAACGCTCCTAACAGACAAAACCTCCATTCTGAATCGATGGTCTGAACACTTTCAGACTCTTTTCAGTACCAACTGTATAGTCCAAGATTCAGCAATTCAGTCCATCACACAACAACCGGTAAAATATGAATTGGATACTGCCCCCACTTTAGGAGAAACCCTCAAGGCCATACAGCAGGTGAAAATGGGCAAGGCAGCTGGGATTGATGGAATTCCACCAGAAATCTGGAAACATGGGGGCCTTGCACTCCACACCAAATTTCATGAGTTCGTGGTGCGCTGTTGGGAGCTCAGTGAACTACCATCAGACCTTCGTGATGCAGTCATCATCACTTTGTATAAGAAGAAAGGTATCAGATCAGATTGCTCAAACTATCATGGTATTACTCTGCTCTCCATTGCTGGCAAAATCCTGGCAAGAATACTCTTGAACAGACTAATACCCACTATAGCAGAAGGTATCCTTCCTGAAAGTCAGTGTGGTTTCAGAGCCAACAGGAGCACCACAGACATGGTATTTGTCCTCAGACAACTGCAAGTGTAGGGAACAGAACAAAGGTCTCTATGTAACCTTTGTCGACCTCACCAAGGCTTTTGACACTGTGAGCAGAAAAGGTCTGTGGCAGATTTTGGAACGTTTAGGTTTGTCCCCCCAAGGTCCTTAAAATGATCATCTCACTCCACGAGGATCAGCACGGCCAAGTCAGATATGACAACACACTTTCTGAGCCCTTTTTAATTAAGAATGGTGTGAAACAAGGCTGCGTTCTCGCTCCTACCCTATTCACCATCTTCTTTAGCATGATGCTCCAAAGGGCCACGGCAGACCTCGATGATCAGGACGGTATCTACATTCGATACCGTACTGATGGAAGCCTACTCAATCTAAGGCGCCTGAAGGCCCACACCAAGACCTAAAACCATCTTGTCCGGGAGCTGCTTTATGCTGATGACGCTGCCCTTGTTGCCCACACAGAAGCAGCCCTGCAGCCTTTAACATCCTGCTTTGCAGATGCTGCTGAGCTCTTTGGACTGGAAGTCAGCTTAAAGAAGACAGAGGTCCTCCATCAACCTGCACCTCAGGAAGTCCCCCATCATCCCCACATCACCATTGGCCAATCGGAGCTCAAATCAGTCCAACAGTTTAATTACCTCGGTTGCCACATCTCCTCAGATGGTAAGATCGACGGAGAGATAAACAGATTAGCAAAGGCATACAGTGCTTTTGGAAAACTCCACAAAAGAGTATGGTGTAATAAACACTTGAAGAAAAGCACCAAGATCAGTGTTTACAAAGCCATAGTGTTGTCGACTCTCTTATATGGCTCCGAATCATGGGTCATCTACCGCCACCACCTGCGTCTCTTAGAACGCTTCCATCAACGCTGCCTCCGCACAATCCTAAACATCCACTGGTCAGACTATGTGACCAACACATCTGTTTTAGAGCAAGCATCTGTCACAAGTATTGAGGCCATGTTACTGAGAACGCAGCTGCGATGGGCAGGGCACGTCTCCAGGATGAAGGACCACCGCCTCCCTAAGATCTTGCTCTATGGTGAACTTATCACTGGCTGCCGCAAGAGAGGAGCTCCGAAGAAAAGATACAAGGACTCCCTGAAACAACATCTCAGCCTTGGCCATATTGATCACCATAACTGGTCCACCCTGACCTCAAATCGGGAGGCCTGGAGACACACCATCTATAACGCAGCTGTCTCCTTCGAGAACACTCGCAGGATCACTCTTGAGGAAAAAAGACAGCGCAGAAAGAACCGTGTATTGCAGAATACACCATCTAAGGAGTCTTTCTGCTGTGCCTTTTGCAATCAGATATGTCTGTCACGTATTGGCCTCATAAGCCACCAGCGTGCCTGTAACAAATGTGGATAGAGCCTTCCCAAATCTTCGTTCGCGAAGCCTAGCCATGATGATGAGACAGATACACAAAACGAGAATACCACACACCACAATTCCAGAAATCCCAAACAACTCCCCAAAAAGGGAAGAGGGGGAGGTGTTGCAAAGCAATTTAAATTAGTAGTAAAATGGCTAAGGCTTAGTAGAAGAGTAGGCCTAGAAAGCAACACTCCAAAGTAGCAACCTTGTTTGTGTGTGAAGTGGAAACCATAATCAAAGGATTTAGTCAGGCATGTATGTAACGATTTGTTACCTAGGATGTGGTTAAGGTCTGTTAAACAGTTTCTAGGGATAAGACAACTTAAGCAGATTTATGATTGGAGTAGATGATTATTAATTGTTATCAGTATGAAGTATGAGCTTGTTTGCAACTGCACCTGGTTTGCTGTGGAAACTGTAACTGTTTTGCTGTGGAAACTGCACGTAAACTTGTTTGTATATAAAAGCTGAACTGAAAATGAGGGTCTTCGGAATCCTGACTTTGGACGCTAGTCCTCAGGTTCCCGGGCCCCGAATAAAGCACCGCATAAACCGGCACTCTGTTGGTTTGTGTTTCTTTTGGTTACGGGCAACAGAGGGAGAAGGGAGAAGGACAAAAAGGGGCAAGGACCGAGCAAGTCAACCAGCCAACCGAAGGCAAACTAGCAAAAATCTCACCACTTCCCTTCGAACAAGCAGGATGGCTGGACACGGCCCAGGGCTCCCCCCTCACGTGTGGCAGATAACAGCAGTCACTGTGGGCCTCAGCTCCAGATAAGCCAGACTGAGACAGGGACCCACCGTTCTCGAACCTCGCCGGAAAGCAAGAGCGCGAGGTCCCTCCTGCTGGCTTTATTTATACCTCAAGTTACGTAAAGGAATAGCATGGAAAACTTCCGTGATCACCTTCCTAGTTCCTTCTTGGTTACAAGCTGGTCTCCAGGAAGGCCTAGAGTGAAACCACCACAGCCCTTTTCACCGATGGCTCCTGCCGTATTGTAGGGAGGAGCTGGAAGTGGAAAGCAGCTGTTTGGAGTCCCACCCGATGAGTGGCAGAAGCCACTGAAGGTAAAGGCGAATCGAGTCAGTTTGCGGAACTCAAAGCAGTCCAATTGGCCCTGGATATCGCAGAGAGAGAAGGATGGCCAAGGCTCTACCTGTACACCGATTCGTGGATGAGAACCAATGCCGTATGGGGGTGGCTAGACTGGTGGAAAGAGGTGAATTGGAAGCGTAGAGGAAAACCCATCTGGGCTGCTGATCTGTGGCAAGACATCGCTGCCAGAGTGAAGAAATTGAACGTGAGAGTCCACCATGTAGATAACCACGTGCCCAAGAAACGAGCTAATGAGGAACATGCTAATAACAGACAGGCAGACCGAGCTGCACAGGTCAAGGTATCACAAGCAGACCTAGACTGGCAGCAGAAGGGAGAATTGTTCCTAGCTCGATGGGCCCATGATGCTTCAGGTCATCGGGGCCGAGATGCCACTCATAGATGGGCACGAGACCGCGGGGTGGATTTAGCCATGGATATCATCTCTCAAGTTCTCTGTGACTGTGAAACCTGTGCGGCTATTAAGCAGGCAAAAAGGTTGAAGCCCCTGTGGTATGGTGGACGCTGGGAGAAGTATAAATATGGGGAGGCCTGACAGATTGACTATATCATGTTGCCACAGACCCGCCAAGGTAAACGCTGTGTGCTTCCCATGGTGGAAGCAACCACAGGATGGTTGGAAACATACTCGGTACCGCATGCAACAGCCCAAAACACCATTCTAGGTCTGGAGAAGCAGGTCCTGTGGAGACAGGGCACTCCAGGGAGGATTGAGTCAGACAACGGGACTCATTTCAAGAACAGCCCAGTAGCCACTTGGGCACAGGAGCATGGGATTGAATGGGTCTATCACATTCCATATCAGGCACCTGCTGCAGGAAAAGTAGAAAGGTGTAATGGACTGTTGAAGACAACCCTAAAGGCACTAGGTGAGGGAACTTACAAAAATTTGGATAAGAACTTAGCCAAGGCCACCTGGCCTTGGGACCTGTGGGTGCAGATGCAGGAGCTACAGGACAAACTGGACCAGGCCCGGAACCAACTCCGGAAGCTGCACAGAGAAAAATGGGGCCTGGAACGGAAGAACCAGCTACTCGAGGAGTTCAGGGAGCAGCTCGAGGAGTCCCAGGAGACTCTACATAAAGAGCTCAGGGAGCGGGAGAGGAGAGAGAGCACCCTGAGCTCCAGAGTATGGTGAGTAAAGCACTGAAACATCCCCCAAAACTGCCCCAAATCCAGCAAAATCCGCCCAAATCCCGTAAAAAACACCATCAAAATCCATCCAAGTCCTTCCAAATCCTCCTGAAATCCACCCAAATCCCGTAAAAAAACCTCTCAAAATCCATCCAAATCCTTCCAAATCCCCCTGAAATCCACTCAAAATCCCAGGAAATCCTGCAGAACTGAGCTGAAATCCTTTGAAATGGAGCAAAAATCCTTCCAAACCCACTCCAAGTCTGTCAAAAATCCACTGAAAATCCCCCTCCAACCGGAGCTGTGGGAAAGCTGCCTCCGAGTGGGGTGAGGGAACCACCAAAATTCCCCTGAAATCCACCCAAACCCCCGCAAATTCCATCAAGAATCCCTCAAAACCTTCTGAAAATCCACAAAAATTGACCTCAAGTCCATGCAAGTCAACCCCAAACCCCTCAAGATCCCACAGAATTTCCCCCAAAAGCCTTCCAAAAATTCCCCAATTCCCTCCAACTTCTCCACAATTTCCCCAAATCGCCCCAAATTCCAGAGATTTCCTCAAAATCCCTCAACATGGGAATTTTCTGAGATTCTCTCAAGGCTCCCCACAGAAAGTCCCCAAAACCCTTCAACAAATTCCCCAATTCCCCACAAAACCCCCTCCAAAATCGCATCAATTCCCTCCAAATTGCCTTCAAATCCCCCAAGCCCCTCGAGGTTTGGGAATTCCAATTTGTGAATTTGGGGGATTCAGGGGGAAATATGGGGGGAAAGTCAGGGGATTTGGGGGCATTTGGGTGGAAATTCAGAGACACCCAGGGAATTTGGGGGGAAATTCAGGGAATCTGGGGGGAAATTTGGGGGGAAATTCCAGGCATTTGGGGAGTCAGAGGGAGGATTTGGGAATTCTGAGAGGGGTTTGGGAAGGGATTTGGTGGGGATTTGGTGGGAATTCAGGGGGAAATTCAGGAAAATTCAGGGGGAAATTCAGGAAAATTCAGGGCATTTGGGGGATCAGAGGGAGGATTTGGGAAGAATTTCGGAATTCTAAGGGGGAGTTGGGAACTCCGGGGGGCTCGGGACTTTTGGGGGGGGGCTTTGGGAAGAGGTTTGATGGGAATTTGGGGGGGATTCAGGGAGAAATTCTGGGACTTTCCCGCAGCTCCCTGGAGTCAGAGCTGGAGCAGCGCCTGCAGGAGGAGGAGCAGAGGTGGAACGTCGTAAATATCTCGGAGAACACAGAGGTTTGCGGGGGACCTGGAATTCCCAAAAACTTACGGGGGGAAAAAACCGGGGAAATCCGGAGCCGTTTGGGTGCTTTGTGGGGCGAAATCCGCCAGGGGGCGCCAACGCAGAGGAAAAAAATCTGAGGGTGGCAGCAATTCCCGGTCTTTTGAGCCCAAAATTCCTCATGGGGGGCCCGAAAACATGGGAAGAGTCAAGGAAAAAAGGCAAGAAATGGGAATTCGCACCGGTGTTGCTGGTTTTTGAACTGAAAACACCTCAGAATATGGGAAAAATGGGAAATTTGCACCAGGTCTGGCGGTTTTGTGCCCGAAATCCACCAGTGGTGCCAAAAAAAAAGGTGGGACAATGGGGGTTTGCACGGATTTTGAGCTTTTTGGCATTGAAATCTCTCAGGGAGCGCCGCAGAATTTGGGAAAGGAAGAAAAAAAGGGAATTTTCCACTCAAAACCCCTTGGGGGGAGCACCTCAAAATTCTCATGGGAAAAATGGGAATTTTTACCAATTTCACGATTTTTCAGCCAAAAATCCCACCGAGGATGCTGAAAAACCGAGAAAAAATTTGGAATTTTCACCAATTGTGCTGCTTTTGACATCAAAATCCCTCAGGAGGTGCCTCAAAAATCTGGAAAAAATGGCACTTTTTTACCCATTCTGCCATTTTGGAGTCAAAATCCTCTTTGTGGCACCTCAAAATTTGGGAAAAGTCAGGAAAACCTTGGGAATTTTGCTCCGATTCCACTGTTTTTTTCCCTTTTGGTGCCATTTCCCCCCCGTTCCTCCCCAAACTCATTGGAGGCAGGTCAAGGACCATCTCCACCTGCAGTGGCACAAGATGGCCTCTCTCCAGGAGGTACAGAAATCACAAAAATCCCTCCGGGATCAGCAGGATGAACAGATCCACCATCTGGAGATGGAGCGCCGCCACCTCCACAATGACACCCAGGAGCCCAAAGTGGGTCCGGGGCAGAGGGGGGCATTTTATAAGGGGAACATCCCCTAAACTTTCCCAAAATTCCTAAATCCCGTATTTTTCCCCGTTTTCCAGGACAACATCCCCTTGTTCTACCGCGTGCGGCCCGTGCTGCCGGAGGAGTCGGAGCGGCAGCGGGGGCTGCAGCACCTGCACTTCTCCCCGCAGAACTCCACAACACTCATTGTCACCCAGCCCGACGAGGTGAGAAGGGCTGCACCCAAAAATGCCCTTTTTCCCCTCAAAAATCCCTTCTTTGCCTTCAAAAATGTCATTTTTTCCCTCAAAAATCCCTTTTTTCCCCTCTCAAAAATGGCCCTTTTTCCCCTCAAAAATTTAGTTTTCCCCTCTCAAAAATGTTGGGTTTTCCCCTCAAAAATCCCTTTTTCCCCCAGCAAAAACATTTTTTTCCCCTCAAAAATGTCATTTTCCCTTCTCAAAAATGTCATTTTTTCCCCCTCAAAAATGTCCTTTTTTTTCCTTTGAAAACATCATTTTTCCCCTCAAAAATCCCACTTTTCCCCCTCCAAAATGCCCTCTTTTTGCAGCAAAAAAAGGCCTTTTTTGGGCAAAAATGTCCTTTTTTGCCTTTGCCCCTCTTGTTTCCACCCCTCCAACTCCCCCTTTTCCTTCAAAAAATCCCCTTTTCCCCCCCAAATCCTTTTTTCCCCCAAATTCCCATTTATTTCCCAGAATTCCTGTTTCCCCCCCCAGCATTCCCAAAACCCCCTCAGAATTCCCCAGGCCTTCCCAAAATCCTGCCAAAATTCCCTAAATATCCCCCCAATTTCCCCCTGAAACCCCCAAATTCCCTGATTTTCCCCTGAATGCCCCAACATTCCCTGAATTTCCCCCCAACCTGCTAAAATTCCCTGATTTCCCCCCCGATGCCTTCAAATAATGTGAATTTCCCCCAAAATTCCCCAAATTTCCCCCCAACCCCCTGAAATTCCCTGATTTGGGGGAAAATTTGGGATCCAGGAGAGATTTTGGGGGAAGTTTGGGATTCGGGGGGGATTTGAGGGGCTTTGGGGGGCTTTGGGGGTCACAGGAGGGTTTGGGGGGTCCTGGGGGAGTTTTGGGGGGATTTGAGGAGGTTTGGGCAGTCAGAGAGAGGATTTGGGGGGTCCGGGGGGGCTCACAGAGGGTTTTGGGGGGGATTTAGGGGAGTTTGGGGGGTCCAGGAGGGGGTTTGGGGGGGATTTGAAGGGGTTTGGGGGAGTTTTGGGGGGATTTGGGACGGAATTTAAGTTGGAGTTGGGAGGGGGTTGGAGGGTCCAGGGGGCAGTTGGCGGGGATTTGAGGGGGTTTGGGGGTCACTGGGGGAGTTTTGGGGGGTCCTCAGGGACATTTGAAGGGGTTTGGGGGGTCCCAGAGGGAATTTGGGGGGTGACAGAGGGGGCTTGGGGGGTCTGGGGAGAGGTTTGAGGAGGTCACAGAGGGGCTTGGGGGGTCCGGGGGGAGTTTTGGGTGGGATTCAGGGGGGTTTGGGGAGGTCGCAGAGGGAATTTGGGGGGTCACGGGAGCATTTGATGGGGCTTGGGGGTCACTGGAGGGGTTTTGGGTGGCCACGGGGGGTTTGGGGGGTCTTGAGGCTGGTTTTGGGGGTCTCACCTGCCCCCATCCCCCCCAGGTGAAAGACCACATGATCGGCACCCCCAAGCCCAACCGGAAGTGAGATCAAGCCCCGCCCTTCGCTCCGCCCTTCACCCCGTTTTTATCTTTTTTTAAAAACAAAAGAATTAATAAAGATTTGCGTGTGCTCAGCGTTGATTGGCTGCCGCTGTCACATGTCTTGCCCAAAATGGCCGCGCTTTGTTCCTCCTTAAGGAGAATCCCGCTTGCTAATATTATAAGTGATCTAAAGAAATTTGCTGCTCAAAATGGGAAAAAGTTAATCCAGTTGCTGTATTGTGTTAACTGCTTTGTTGGAATTATAAGTTGACGAGTTGTGCAATGCCTAACCACAAGTTCTGTAAGCTGTGGAATGATTAACACAACGCAAGAATGATTTAGCATATTGTATTTTGGAGATGTTTGTTCTAAGCATATTAATAGGAACCAATATGGAGGGGTAGACCACAAGGAGTCCGGGTGATCAACCGTCATCCTGATGGTAATTTCCAGGACCACGGCTTCATAGAAATCAATGACTTTGAAATTCTTGGTGGATTGCCCGCGAAAGGAGGAACCAACCCCAAGTTGGCCCGCGAAGAGGGAACCAAGCAGGATGCAGCCCGTGAAACCTCCACCAATGGACTGATGACATGACTTTGGGGGGAGGTGACATCAGAGGGTATAACAAGTGCTGTTTCTGTTCCTCTTTGCAGACAGTGGTAGGAACTGAGGTTTCCTCCGGTCGCCCGGCTGACCGTTTTTGCTTGTTGGCATTAATAAATCTTTTATTACCTTGCAACCCAAATTATAGCCTCATTTCACTTATTACACTGATTGGCTGCACCCGTGTGGCGGCGCGGCTGCCACCATTTTGCTCCGCCTGTTGTGGGTAAATGGTCCCATTTACACCTTAATTCGGGCTGAGGTATCTCTCCCTAATGGGATCAGAACACCTGGGCAGGGACACCTTCCACCACACCAGCTGGCTCCAACCCCGTCCAACCCCGCCTTGGACACTTCCCACGGTGGGGCAGCCACAGCTTCTCTGGGCAACCTGGCCCAGGGCCTCACCTCCCTCCCAGGGAACAATTTCTCCCCAAAAGTCTCATCTCCCAGAGGTCACTCCCTGGGGCCAGGCTGCAGTGTGTTCCTCCCCAGCACTGCCTGCCTGCAACAGCCTGGGCCGACACAGGAGGGCTTCCCCTCGGCCACCCCCACCTAAGGCAGCAGTTGCTCTGGGCTGCTCCTCACAGATCCCTGTGCCATCAGCTGCAAAGCTCTCAGCAAGGCTGTCCTAAAGGAAGCTGCCCTGGGAAAGCCAACGTGCTGCAGCTCCAACAGGGAAAAGAATCTCAGAATCAGGAAGGTTGCAAAAGAGCTCCAAGATCATTGAGTCAAACTGGGACCTCTCCCAGGGGGCTCCCTGAATCCCTGTAACCAAGCCCCGGCACTGGGCTCTGCGTGTGGCACCGGAGAGGCGAGGGGCCCTGGCCCTCAGCCACTGCCATCCTTGCCATGGCCCTCACACATCGCCCCTCAGCACTGAGCCATCGCCCCTAGGCATGGCCCCTCAGTGCCCTCGCCCTCAGCCCTCCCCCTCAGTGCCCTCGCCCTCAGCCATCGCCCCTCAGCCCTCAACCATCGCCCTCACCCCCCCAACTCCCTTTGAAATCCAGCCCGGGGCTCGCCCCGGCCTCACACAGGGAGCTGCCGTGCTCCAGCTGTCCCTCAGCACTGGGGGAGGATTTGTGCTCACCCCAGGGCTGGGGCTTTGCAGCTGTTGTTTCAGTCCTTTTTTAGAGCCTGCCTCTGAAGAGAAGCCCCCCAGGAGAACAGAGTCCGCTGCAGGAACCAACATCCTCACCCTAACCAAGGGATGACACAGCACTTAGTGCTGCAAAGATTGCAGCTGTTCCCAGGGCACAAAGAAAGCTGAAACTGCTCCACTTGCATGTGCTTGCCCATCTCGCTCTAAAATAACATCCCAAGATGTCAGTGTTCAAGACAAGGGCTTAGATTGAGGTGGACTGTGCTGGGGGGCCTTTTAAACCCAGCCTCCTGCCTGACCTCACTGCTGCTGGAGGTGCATGGACAGCGCTTGGAGTCTTTCACTTGGATTCATATGTTTCCTGGAACGTTCCCTTTCCTTGTTTTGCTGTTCAGTGGAGATAAGGATTTTCTTCCAAGTGAGAACTCTCCTCCAGTCTTTTCTTCAGCTCCAGAAATGGAGCAGATTCATCAGGCACTTGGGTGAGAAGAGAGAGTTCCTGAAAAGCAACCCTTGGAATGGAAACAGTGAGTCAAGAGGCAATGTCTAATGTTGTTCTTGGTGCAGAAACTGAAGTTCAAGCTAAAGAAGAAGGACAGAGAAATGACCTCTCAAAGACAACAAACTGTCCTGGAGGTACCGAGAGTTTTTTTGGGTTTTTCTTTTTTTTTTGCATTGGGCCTTACATTCAGCAAGAGAGGATGAAACACAAGAATCATTTTGGCATGGAAATACTTGTCTTCATAAACTTGCTCATTGGAAAACTTGGTATCTCTTGATTTCTCCTTGTGATAGCTCTGGGTCTTTCTCATCCTCCCCCTGCACAGCTCTGGGATTCTCCCCTCTTCCCATTGGGCAACTTCTTGGACTCTCCCATCTGCCTCCCATTGGTGCAACTCTTGACTCTCATTTTCTCCCCACAGGTTGAGCTCTCGCACTGTCCCACGTTCTTCCCATGGCTGCAGCTCTGGGCCGCTCAACTTTCCCCAGTGGAACACTTAGATGTTGCCTTTGCAATGATTTTTGGGTGGACCAAAGAGCTGGGAAAACAGCTAAAAAGGACTTGTTTGCCCACATCAAAACTGTGCTTGCTTCCTGACAAAGATGACTCCCTGGCAATAGTCAGACTCAGAGCGTGTCTGTGCAGGCTTGGCCGGACAGGCTCCACAGTCCTGGGGCAAATGTGTTTGCATGCCAGTTCTTGGTGAGCCGGGTTCAAGGGGCAGGTTCAGTTTACCTTTGGAGAGAATGCACACACCTGCCCTCCCACCCGCAACTGGGAACTCTCCTACTGGGAGAGCTGGGAGCTGAGCAGTCCCTCCTCACAAATCCCTAAGTGGTACCTGAGTTTTCTAATGCATAACTATCTAGAGTAGCAAAAAAAGGACACGTGTACATTCTTTTCTCATGCCTCACAAATTTCAATAGAAAAGACACAAATTCTGAAGGTATTTGAACAGTGTTCTCTCTTTCTTTTCTTTGCAATTTCCTGGGAAACCACATTGCAACAGTGGCCTAGTTTTAAAAAAATACAAGGCAATATTTTTATTATTATTTTTTATATTTCTATTATCTATTTAAATATGAGAACATAATGTAGTATAAATATTTTTATATAATAATTAGCATAATATTTGATTTTTCTTTATTATTTTCATTTATTTTTATTTTATTTGCTTTGTTTCAGTAGTACTCTTTCTTTATTTAAATCAGGATAAACTAAGAAAGAATCAATAAATTGTTGCTAAATAACAAAAAGGGAGTTCCAAATCCATTAAAAAATGAGCCAGAATTCCTATGGTCAGGTGTCTCCAAATCACCCCATGGCTGCACCAAGGTAAAAATCACCTGTGGAGATATTGGGACCAGTTATGTGAGAGGAGACACTAAACACACAGGTTTTAGTCTCTTATCCCAAACAGAGTAAAAAACTATTGTTTTATCACAAACAAACTAAGTTTTTAGTCTTTTTGCAACAGGAAACAACTTTTATTGTGCTAGTCTGTTTTACCTGGGGTTCAAAAGGCACAAGAAATAAATAATAAATAAATTAGAGTTAAATAACCTTGGGAAAGGGGAATGGCTTTCATGGGGACTTCATTGCACACTGTTTCTGCCACGGCTCAGGGCCAAGAGTCCTTTCCTTGCTCCAGCGTGGGCTTCCTCCTGTGGCAGACAGTTCCCCGGGAACTTCTGCTGCAGGAGTCCTTCCACAGGAGCAGTCCTTAAGGAATCGATCCAGTGGAGGTGCCTGTGGCAATGCAGTTTCCTAGGAAATTACAAAGAAAGGAAAGACAGAACACTGCTCAAATTACTTCAGGATTGGTGTCTTTTGCAAGGGGCCTGGAATTCCCAAAAACTTACAGGGAGGGGAGAAAAAAAATTGGGATAATCCAGAGCCAGTTCCTCCCTGATGTCCCCAAACCCCTCCCCAATGTCCCCAAACCCCGTTCCTGATATCCCCAACCCTGGGTGTCCCCCCAGGAGCCCCCTGTGCCCCCCCAAACACTCGCCCTGGGACCTGTGGGTGCAGATGCAGGAGCTACAGGCCAAATTGGACCAGGCCCGGAACCAGCTCTGGAAGGTGCAAACAGAGAAACGGGGCCTGGAGTGTCTAAACTAGGAGCTCAACAAGTGCCGGGAGCAGCTCCAGAGGGAGCTCATGGAGTCCCGGGAGCAGCTCAAGGAGTCCCAGGACAACCTCCACAGAGAACTCAGGGAGCACGAAAGACGGGACAGTAACCTGAACTCCAGAGTATGGTGAGCAAAGCACCGAAACATCCCCCGAAACTGCCCCAAATCCAGCAAATCAGTCCAGCAGTTTAATTACCTGGGGGGCCTCATCTCCTCGGACGGTGAGATTGACGGAGAGACAGACAACAGGTGAGCAAAGGCATCGAGAGTTTTGGAAGGCTCCATCAAAGAGTTTGGTGAAATAAACACCTGAAGAAAAGTACCAAGATCAGTGTTTACAGAGCCATAGTGCTGTCTACTCTCTTCTACGGATCTGAATCGTGGGTCATCCACCGCCACCACCTGCGTCTTCTCGAACGCTTCCATCAACGCTGACTCGGCACAATCCTAAACATCCCCTGGTCAGATGATGGGACCAATACATCTGTTCTAGAACAGGTAGGAGTCACAAGCATTGAGGCCATGTTGCTGAGAACACAGCTGAACTGGGCAGGGTACGTCTCCAGGATGAAGGAAAAACCACCGCCTCCCGAAGGTCCTGCTTTATGGGGAACTTGCCACCGGCTGCCGCAAGAGGGAAGTCCCGAAGACGAGATGCTTGAAACATCTCAGTCTTGGCCATACTGATCATCATAACTGGTCTATTCTGGCGCCAACAGGGAGGTCTGGAGACACACCATCTAAAACGCTGCTGCTCCCTTTGAGAACGCTCAGAGAATCACGCTTGAGGAGAAAAGACAGTGCAGAGAGAATCGTGTCTTGCTGATCCCATACAAGGAGTCTTTCTGCTGTACCTTTTGCAACCCATCTTGTCTATCTCACATTGGCCTCTTTAGCCACAAGCGTGCTTGTACTAAATGTGGGTAGAGCCCGTCCCAAATCTTCGTTGGCGAAGCCCAGCCATGATGATGGTGATAAAGTGGTCTGTGAGGTTGGTGGGTGTGCATGCTTTATGGAGCTACCTTCATGCACCCAGCACACTGAATGAAGTCATGTGGGCTTTCTAAACCAAAAAACTGGTTGGAGAGTTTGTTTCCCAGTTTTTGGTACCAGAACCTGATGGAACCAAGGGGATCCTGTGACACTGTGGGGGATCAGGGAACCAAAGGGACACTGTGACACTGTGGGGGCTCAGGGAACCAAAGGGACCCTGTGACACTGTGGGGGTCATGGAACCAAAGGGACCCTGTGACACTGTGGGGGCTGATGGAACCAAAGGGACCCTGTGACACTGTGGGGGTCATGGAACCAAAGGGACCCTGGGACACTGTGGGGGCTCAGGGAACCAAAGGGACCCTGGGACACTGTGGGGGCTCAGGGAACCAAAGGGACCCTGGGACACTGTGGGGGCCTCGTGGTGCCCAGGGCTGAGGAATCCCGTGGGTGCAGGTGGCTCAGGGAGCAGCTGCAGTTGGAGCTGTGGGATGAGCTCTGGGTGAGGGGCCTCAGACAAAAGGCCGTGAGCTGCCCACCCTGGAGCAGCCAAGGGAGAGGACACTTGGAGACAGGGCAGGAGCCCAGGACTCAGCAGGAAGAGCGTTTTGTGTGCTTGGACTGTGAGGAGATAAAACCCCAAGGAGGTTTTTGTTGGGGGTCCTTCCTCGAGGCACCAGCTCAGCCTGTTTTTTTGTCTCTTCAAAAGAAAGAAATTGTTTTACTCTTTTAAAGATATCAGGGACTCTTCCATGGGAAAGCTGGGGTGGAAGCAGTGAGGAAACCTGGTCTGACTGTGAGAGTGGGGGTGTGGGGAGTCACAGGGGATCCGTTGGGTCACTGGAGCTGCTGCTGCTGGGAAGGGGCCTGAGGGTCAGCAGTGCCAGTCTGGGCCGGTGGGAGAGTGACTGCCAGGGAGTCTTGGGAATGGTGAGCCTGCGAAGTTCCCTTAAGAGTGTGAGGGGGATCTGGTGTGCCGAGATCACCAGGAACCCCCTGAGCCGCTCTGCTCATGGCAAGGATGCAGAGAAGGTAGAGTTACTGAACACCTTTGGGACCAAGGACAGCTCACTGAGACCAGAACTCAGGGATCTCTGGTCCGGGAGACCTGGATAGAGGAATGTTGAAAGGAAGACCTTGCCTTGCTCAAGGAAGATTGGCTCAGAGAACACCTCAAATAACTCCACACCCACAAGTCCATGGGACACTTCATGACCTCCTGTCACCAAGGGGACCTTGTGACACTGGGGCACCTCGTGGTTATCAGTCTCTTCCAAATGTTGTGTGCAAACACAGAGAGGCAAAACTGTGGAGCCTGAGCGTGTGGATCCAAACTATCACACCCACCGGTGCTTCCTGGTTCCCTTCCATCAGTTGATCAGTGACTGGAGAGCAAAGGATTGCTCAGGAAGGCTCACTTGCCCTTTAGCAGTCCCATCTGGCCAGTGCAAAAGTGTAATAGGGAGTGGAACCATCCCTTGGGCTTTGAAAAGCATCTTTGGGGGGCACAGCCCCCTGAAAGGACAGAACTGTGGAATGGGATCCATGAGCGCAGAGTGGGAAAGAGAAATGGCCTGCAGAGGAACAGGGAGGGCCAGGGCAGAGAATCTTGCCCCAGGCTCTGCTCTGGGGCTGGAGACTGGACCCATTTGGGGCCTGCAGTGCTGGGAAATGGGGTGGGCTGGATCTGGGAACTGCCACACCCCAGCAATTCCCCTAGCCTCCCCCTTGTCTCCAGGTGCCCAAATTACCCAGTGCTCCCCAGTGCCTCTAGTGTCTGGAGATCCCAGTCAGGGGGCTGTTCCCACTGCCCAGGTCACCCATTTTTCTCCCCCCTAGGGATCCTTTCCTGGATCCTTGTCGGTGCCAACCCTCTCCTTTCCCCATGGGGCTGGAGTGAGAAAATTAATCAGACACTTCAAGTCTGGGGCCTGGCTCAACCATGGGGTGTCCCAGAGGGAAAACTGTGGGAAGGGATGGGCAGGAGGACATGGGAGGATCAGGTTTTGGGGCCGTTGGAGATGGATTGTGTTGTTGTGGGATTGTCCCCACAGGGTATGCAGCTGCTTTCAGCTCCCTGCCCACCCCCCTGGCACCCCCAGGGGCCTGGGCCTTTCCAGGGGCAGCTGCCCCATGCAGGAAGCTGGAGGGATGCTGGGGAAGGTGGCTGGATGGGTGCCGCAGGCGGGATGGACTCTGTGCCAGGGCTGGGCTTGTGGCCAGGGCTGGGGGCTGTGCCCAGCCGGGCTTTGCCCCGGGGGCTCTCGGGGAGGGGGCAGGGAGGAGTCCCGGCAGGGATAAATGTGCTCCTGCCCTTGTGCAGCCTCAGCCAGCACTGTCCAGGCCCAGAGGAAGATGAAGGTCGCTGTGCTCAGCGTGGTCCTGCTCTTCACCATCCTGCTGAGCCAAGGTGAGGCCCCCATGCCACGGGCGTGGGCTCAGGGCTGCGGATGCTCCTGTTTGCAGGAGAGCACCTCTGCTGCAGGATGGAATCGGGGCTGTGATCCCAAAACTCCTTGCCTTGGCCTCTCCCTCTCCCAGTCCAGGGGAACCTCAGCTCTTCTGGACCTCCAATGCTGGGCACTGCAGCTTCTCCCTCCCACTCTTCCCCCTCTTCACTCCATTTCCACTGCCAATCTCCCTGTGCTCAGAGCCCCAGATGCTCAGGGAACCTGACCAGGGAGGTCCCTCACAAGGGAGGGCCACTATCAATTGTTGGGAGGGCCCCCACCTCTTTCTTTTTATGGTGCTCCCAAATCCCACCCTCTTGGGCCTCCCGTCCCGTCCTTTTTGGTCCCCTCAGGCATCTCCGCCCCAGGATCTGTTCTGTGTCCTACCCACGGTCCCCAAACCTCCTCCCACTGATCATTCCCAAGCTTTCTTTCCGTCTTTCCCCTCAGACCTTTGCCTTTCACCCAGGTCGCTGCCCTGGTACCTCCCAAGACCATTCCTTGACTCCCTCTCCACTCCCAACCATCTCCCAGTCCCCTCGTTTTTGTCCTCCTCCATCCTCCTCCTCCTGTCCCCCCCAAGCCTCTCCCTTGCAGTCCCCACATCCCTACACTTGAATTCCTTTCCCCTCCCCTGCATCCCACATGGTGCCCCTTCAACACCCCAATCCCAGTCCCGTGGGCTCCCCAGTTCCCCCCAGTTCAGCATCCTTGGGTCCCCCCGATGTCCCCCCACCGTCCCTGCAGACCCTGAATTTCCCTGGCTCTCCTTGTCTCCATCCCCACCCTGGGCCCTGCAGGCACAGGGCTTGCAGGTGAAACTGGGTGCAGTGGGACTGGGGGGAACAGAAGGGATTTTCCCCCTCAGACGGGGGGCAGCCCTAGGTTGGGGGGTCTGGGGACACCCGTGTGCCTCCCCCAGCCCCACAGGGGCCAATCCTGAGCAACCCTTTGCTCTCCTTGCCCAGGCACTCTTGGCAGGAACCCAAAATGATGTGCAGGAGGTGAGTGGGCCGGGGGGACTGGAGGGCATCCAGTCTGGGAACTGGGGGACACTTTGGTCCCCCCATCCCTCGCTGGCACCGGGGACATCCCAGTGACCAGCCAGGGCTCCTGGTCTCTCTCCAGATTGATTTAGTGGACGTTGGGATCCTGGAGACGGCTCAGGTTGGTACCAGGCGTTCTGCCTGAGTCAGGTCTTTCCCTCACATGGCCATGACACTCCAGGCCATCCCAGTCTGCCCCACTATACCCCAGTGCACCTTCCCCAAGGATCCCATTTCTTCCCCCAGGCTCCCAAAACATCCCACTGCCCCAGTGTGTCTCTAACCGTGTCTTTGTCCCCAGCCCCCTGTGGTTGAGGAGGAGTTTCTTCTTGTTAAGAAACTCTTGGCTGCACTCAGGATTCGCTGAGGTGAGCATTGCCTGCAGGGAGAGGGGGCAGGACAGGGCCCCTCTCTTGTTGCAGTGGCCTTTGGGGGGATGATTTGGGCTCTGTCTTTCAGGACTGGTGGTGACACCTCTACCCTCTCCCCCTCCAGTGGCA